CTCTCTCTCTCTCTCTCTCTCTCTCTCTCTCTCTCTCTCTCTCTCTCTCTCACTGTGGTTTAAACCCAGGGCCTCTCCTGCTTAGCAAGAGCTGTGCCACTGAGCTATTTAGCCCCACACCCTTTTCTGAACTTTATTTTAAGCCATTCTCACACAGGCTTGTCTTGGACTTTTGCTCCTTTTGCCCTCGCCTCCTGAGTAGCTGGGATTACAAGCATGTGCCTCCAGGCTCTTTTCTATACAATCGCAATATTATTCCTGAACAAAATTGACAATTCTTGTCATCTAATCACACCAAAATCTGCATTCAGATTTTTTGAAAACAACCATTTATTTGTTTTATTTGAATTAGAATTCAAGCAAAGCTCATACTTTGCCTTAAATGTTTTAAGCTTTTTCAGAAAATGTATTTTGTACTGGGTCTTGCTGTGCAGTTCGGCAGCTCAGACTCAGTGTAGTGATCCTCCTACTTTAAGCTCCCCAGCACTGCGGGCTCAGCACACCCAGGGGCAAGGCAGGTGAAGCACGTGGTGCCTGGGATTCAACACGGTCCCTGCACTTGCCTAAGCAGGTGCTTAGTCTACTGAGCTATATTGCCAGCCCTTAAAAGTTTTGATTCTTCTCTCTCTTCTCCGCTCCGCTCCGCTCCGCTCCGCTCCGCTCCCCTCCCCTCCCCTCCCCTCCCCTCCCCTCTCTTCTCCTCTCCTCTCTTCTCCTCTCTTCTCCTCTCTGCTTCTTCCACACTGCACTTAGTGTGGATTTACTGGATTTAAAGGTATGGCCTACCATTATAAAACATGTCCCAGGATTGGTTTCCTACTGTTTCAAAACTAAGGGCCAGGATACAAAGAACGATGTTGCATAGAAACACATTTTAAATGATGCTATGGTTACTTTTTTTCTTGTTTCTTTTTAAACATAATTACCTACATGGATACATTTGAGAAAATGTGCCTTTTCAGAACATTTAGTTCCAAAAGGTAGAAGCATAATAAGCTTGTTTATAATGTTGCTCATTATACTCTTTTATTTCTTTTTACAGAAACACTTGAATATAGACAAGTACAAATGTGTAAAACTCATTAGAGAAAATGCAAGAAAAATCTCATGTTGTACTTTGAAATGCAAACATAACAAATAAATGGCAGGAAACAACTAATTATTCCTTCAACAACAAACTCTAGGAACAATGGTTTGAAGCAGCTAGATGATGTGCCTAGTATCCAGTTTCCTACCATTTCTTATAAACATCACCTCTCTGTTTCCTTCATGGGTAAATTTAACCTTAACCTCAGTCGGGGTGTCTCCAGTGCTGTCCTGTTTGTAGGGTAATAATCAGCTCACAGGTTTTGATCCTGTGTGGTTTAGAGGATATCTTTCAGCACACAGACATATGCATTTGTTACCCATAATGTTATTTCTGGACTGTGTACAGGGACTGATGGTGCTGTGTTGGAACACAGCTATTTATTCTGGCTTCTAGGCAATTGAAAAGCAAGGAACTGCTTAGCTCCATGGTCTTTGAACGAAGAAAACATTTACTAGAAAAGATTGAAAACAAGCGTGTTGTAAACTGAGACTAAACATAAATGTAACATCTTTCCTATTTGTATATCCAATAGAAAAGAGTAATACAGGTCCTCTCCATATATATTATATTATGAGAGTGCCAAAAAATAATGTATACACACTTCAGGAAAAGAACAACTTTTAGTATTTTAATACTTTAATACTAGATTTATTGCAACATTATGAGATTAGCACAAGTTACCCTTGGCCTCTACAATTAGAAGAGGTGCTCAAAGTAGTGGCCATCAGCTTCCAGATATTTATTAGTACAGCAAACTGCTGCTTTGGTAACCTTGGTCACTGAAATTGCTGCAATGTGTTTTCAGTTTTTTCTCTAAAGGCCAGCAGTGTAGTGAGTTTACCACAATATGTGTCATCCTCTAAGGTCACCCATGTGAGACTTAACACCTGTTACAAAAGCATGATCCTATTTTCCTGAAGTGTACATACATATTTGGGCTCTCTCACTCTGTCCATACTATATTTGACGAGGCCAGCCATGGTGGTACATGCTGTAATCCCAGCCCTCTGGGAGGATGAGGTGGGAGGATTGAAAGTTTGAGCCCAGCTTGGGCGACCAACTGACTTAGCAAGACCTTGTCTAAAAATAAAAAAATTATAGAAGGACTGGGGATGTAGTTTAGTAAAAATACCCTGGATTCAATTCCCAGTACCATAATCTGTCTATCTCCTACCTACCTGCCTCTCTCTCTCTCTCTCTCTCTCTCTCTCTCTCTCTTTCTCTCTCTCTCTCTCCCCCTGTCTCCCCACCCCTCCAACACCTTTGTTGTTGTGGTTTTTTGTTTGTTTGTTTGTTTTTTTTTTTTTGTGTGTGTGTGTGTGTGTGTGGTATTGGGGATTGAACTCAGAACCTTGCACTTGCCAGGCAAGCATTTATTCTACTGAGCTATCTCCCTAGCCCCTCTGTCTTTTTGAGGGAGGAAAAAGGAACTTGAATGCACCCATCAATCAGCTTCAACCATTACTGACTCATGGGGAGCCGAGTTTCATCTGTGTTCCCATCCACTTTTCCACCCTGACTACATTAAAGTTGATTTTAGATGTTAAACTATTTTATTCATAAATATTTTAGAGTTCATTTCTAAAAGACAGGTACTTTAAGAAGACACCAATCTGACTGGTGGCACACACCTGTAATATGAGGCTGAGGCAAGAAAACTGCTGTGAACTAAAGGCCAACCTGGAGTACATAGCAAGACCCTCTCTCCAAAACAAGACAACAACAAAAAAGATGACAATACCATTTCCATATCATACCTAAAAAATAGACAATAATAGTTTACTGTTATTACATACTCTTGAAATTTCTTGGTCTCAAAATATTTTTAGTTTTCTTAAGTTTGTATATTTGAATCAGCATCCAAATAAGATACACACATTGCAACTGACTGGCAATGTTTTTAAATTAAACATTGGATATGTTTAATCATGGTAAAATACCTAAAACTTAAAAATCGATCATCTTAAGCATTTTCAAATCTTTAGTAGTGCTAAAAACATTCACATTGTGGTACAACCATTCGTCAGCCTTTCATCTTACAAAATTGAAGCTCCTTATCCATCAAATAATGACTTTCCATTACCCGGCCCCTAAGGACCATCGTTCTACTTATGTCTATGAATTTGATTGCTCTAAGAACCTCATATAAGTACAGTTATACCCTATTCTTTTTATGACTGGCCTACTGCCCTTCACATAATGTTCTCAAGGTTTATCCTTGTGTGGCATGTGTCTGCATTTCCTTTTTAGGGTTGAATAATATTCCATTGTGTATGTACCATGCTTTGTTTTCTCATTCATCCATTAATGGGCATTTGGGAGAATTAATACCTTTATTTTAAAAAATATATTATTTATTTTTAAATATATTTAGTTGTTACAGGGTCTCACTACGCAGCTCAAACTCATAGTGATCTTCCTGTCTTCAGCCTCCCCAGCTCTGAGATTACAGGCCTATGCCACTCTGCGTGGACTCTGGCCTGCTGAGCCCACCCTGGGGGTGGGGCTATTGCTGCATGTGGTGCTGGAGATCAGACTGCAGTCCCTGAGCTTACCAAAGCTTCCCTAAATAGGTGCTTTAGGGGGTCAAATTGCGGTCCCTGCACTTACCTAAGCTTGCCTAAGCAGGCATTTTAGTCCACTGAGCTCTTACCAGCCCCAATACCTTTATGATATTGGATTTTCTAGCCCATAAATATGGTTTATAATTAGGCCACTGAATCAAAATTACTTGGAAGGTTTGTTCAAGCAGACACTACTCCTGGAATTTTGATTCACATGTGTGTGGTAGACCAGAAAACATGCAATCCTAATGATTTCCAAGTGATGCTGAAAATGCCCTTACCATATCACTTTGAAGATTTAGAAAGATTTAGTTTTCCTCAACATATGCTCCTCAGTAGAGCATATGTTTCCGTCCTATTAAGATTTATTTTAGGGGGCATGGCCCTAGCTCAGGCCTTTAAGTGGCTGCTTCCACAAAGCTCTCAGCCTCAGGTTGCTGGAGTTCGAACCTCACAACTCTCCCGCTGGCCAAAAGTGCCCTGAAGCCATTCGAGGAACAAAAAAAAAAAAAAAAAAAAAGATTTATTTTAAATAACAGATATGTAAAGGGGAAATAATGAAATATAAAATTGATCAATTTTCATTTAGTTTAGTAGATATAGTTTGTATTTTTTTTGTCAGCTGAAACCAGGAGGCGTACAGTTACACATCAGTTTATAATCTTTGTAGAAGCAAAAGATTTAAAGGCCCTGTATCTCTAGGCTTTAAGTCAAATTTTGTATATTCTACACTTGCTAAAAAAAACTCTTAAAATTTAAATTTGGGGGCTGGGGAGATGGCTCAGTAGAATAAGCACTTCCCTGGCAAGCACAAGGTCCTGAGTTCAATCCCCGGTTCTGCAAAAAATAAATAAATAAATAAATAAAATAAATTTAAATAGAAAAGTTTACTCAGATGGTATGCACATAAGAGGACACTACAGAACCCTAAAGAGGAGCCAGGAAAAGGAGATTTGGAAAAAAAAAGCTCATTGTCTCATGCTTGTGCCATCTCTTAGTTTAAATTCAGGCGAGCACCCAATCTGACAATTTGAGATTTCTTTTTTTATTTATATGTTATACAAGGAGAATCCTAAATTTTTTGGACTGCATGGGAAACACAAGGGAGGCAGGAAATGTAACAGCATTTTTCTTTCCTAGCAGTAGAATTATATCACTGATTTTTCCTAGGGATAAGGATAGAAATAGCAACCAAGAAAGTGGCTCAGTTCTACTTTCATCTCCAGTTTGCACTGAAGGGATGAGGGGAAATAGGCCTGGTTCTCTGCCCTTATGTTGTCTGCTGCAGGCAGAACTTCCAGTACTAGTCAGCTCCTCATGTCCCCCAAACTTCCCAGCAATCTGATGGAGACCATCTGTTCTCCATCATTTCCTGCATGCCTAGGACAGTGTTTGTCAGAGTACCAATTGAAGAGTCCTGATGTTATCTGATGTCCGAGATTGTTATAGGGAATCTTTGAGGTTGAAACTATTTCTCGAGAATGCTGAGACATTATTTCCCATTTTCACCCTATGTGCCTTTGAGTATAAGTGGAGTTTCCAAGAAAATACATGACAGGTGTTACTGCAATTCATAGAATGCACAAGCAGGAGAATCCCACTATTATCTATAGAGAGATTTCCTAAAATATATCACTGTCCTTATTTAAATATTTTACTTTGAAAAGTAATCATATGCCATGTTTTTTTTTGTTAGCATGTAATGGGCTTATTATTACTATTTTAAGTAAATTAATAACTATATTGGAAAATTTTCTTAATTTTAACTTATAAAGTAGTAAATATTGATAGATATACATAGCCAAGAGCTGTATGGAACCCTCAGTAATGTTTAAGGTTGTAAAGAGATTTACAATGAAGATTTTGAGAACTGCCTGCCCAGGACTGTTCAAGTCTCTCTGGGGCATATACTGATTACCTCGAAGTCATCCAGTTGCTACCCACTTCCACCAAATCCTGTAATCACTTCTTGTTTCAACCAGTCTTTATTACTGGGAGACAGTCTTGTTAGAATGGTTAAGAATTATGCACAAGGGGGCTGGGGAGGTAGCTCAGTAGAATAAGCGCTTGCCTGGCAAGCACAAGGGCCTGAGTTCAATCCCTGGTTACACACACACACACATACACACACACACACACACACACACACACACACCAATTATGCACAAGGAATTGAAGTTCAAATTCTGTCTTACCCACTTACTAGTTTTATAACTGAGCAATTTACTTTGCCCCTCAAGAGTCGCAGATTTCTTATGTGTAAAAGGGTTATGTAGTAGCAATTAACATAGATTTGTGAGAATTAAGTGAAAAAGCATGTCTGTAGGAGATGATTGCTTGTGATGATCTAATATAAGAACTGAAAAGATAAAGTGAATGCCACATGTTTAACTTCTTGGAAAAAGAGAAATGAGAATCCTATGGTTAGACAACATTTGGTTTAAAAGGTAAAGTGAGTGAGAAATAACTTCATATATGTCAGCCCAGTCTTGCCAGAAAAATGTTTTGACTTTTCGCAATTTAATGTCAGATCTTCTTTCTTTTCTTTCTTTCTTTCTTTCTTTCTTTCTTTCTTTCTTTCTTTCTTTCTTTCTTTCTTTCTTTTTATTTTTGGTGGAACTGGGGATCGAACTCAGGTCCTTGAGCTTGCCAGGGAAGCGCTTATTCCACTGAGCCATCTCCCCAGCCCCTTATTTCCTTATTTTTGTTTGTTTGTTTTGTTTTGTTTTTTGCCATACCAGGGATTGAACACAGGACCCTGCACTTGCCAGGCAGGCATTTATTCTACTGAGCTATCTCCCCGGCCCTAGTACAGGATCTACAGGGTCTCACTACACAAATCAGACTCATAGTGATCCTTCTGTTTTCAGCCTTTAATCCACGGAGCTATCTGGCCAGCTCCGTGTGTTTAATGAGATCTCTACTACTAAAAGGTGGCTTTGGAGTGGAGGAGTTGAAGGCAGTCATTTTTCTGATGATGGGCACACAATAAGGGCTGTAGGGGCATGGCTGCCACACTTCACATCATTGTTGTACCCATGATGTTTTCAAACCCACCCTAATCTCTGACAAGGGACAGGCTAGGCCACAGAAAATGCAGCCCAGTTTCTGCATTGGCAGCCACAGCCATCCTGAAGCAGAACATTTGTGCTGTGAGCATTTGCTACCAGAAGTGGAATGTGAGAAAGATGTTGATCTCCTTTCTCAACTATGGGTACTATCCAAGTATCCAGTAAGTAGGTTGCTTTTCTCTACAAAATGCTGGTGTTAATGTGCTTAGCTTGCTAGAACCTAGGGAGTGGAGCACAGAGAAGTAAAATGCTTTTAGTCAATTCTTATTTTGGCACAGAAGTAGTCTGTTGTACCTGCCTCCTCTGTTTCTTGGATGATAGGCTGAAGTTTCCACTTGCTTCTGTTTGTATCTGTCTGCCTTTTTTTTTTCTCTGCCAGAGGTTGCTTCTTTCTAGATTTACATTATTTTCCAGCTCTTATGTGTCTTGTAGTTAAAATGTTAGAGAATCTAATAGCATGTATCACTATGCTTCATGCAGGAAAACTTGGATGGTGAACAAATAAAAGACTTGTCCATAGGTCCTGTAGTTCTACATGAGGTTGATTGCCTGACCTGTCAACAGCCAAACCACATATTGGGGCCTAAACAGTTTGTTAGTCCCAAAGATTCCATTATTTAGCCATGCCAAAGTCTTACGTTTAATCAGTCCTCTTTCTGACTGAGAAGATCATTAGTTTTCTGTGAATGTGAGCAGATCATCTGAAGCAGTCTAATACATGCCTTTGCCTGGATTTTTGCAATCCATCAGAATTGGTGGACAGTCTGCAGTTTCATTTACCAGGTTGCTTCTATCTATATTGTAGTGATCTGCCTGTTTACAGCCTCCCAAGAGCTGGGATTATAGGCTCGCAACACCACATCCAGTCTCTGTGGGCCCCACAGGTGGGGCCAGCACGGCAGGCCTGGGTATCGAACCCCCGGCCTCTGTGCCTGGTTGCAGGAGCTTTAATCTGCTGAGCTATTTGGCTGGCCCAACACACACACTTTGTACACAATATGTAAACAGCAAAGGCAGGTTTGGTGCTCTGCTTCTTGAATTCCAGAAAAAAAATTTTCTGTTGTATTCATTTAGTGAGATCCATTGATTGTCCTCTTTTTTAATTAATTAATTAATTTTTTTTTTAGTACAGGGTAAACAGGGTCTCACTACACAGATCGGACTCGTTAGTGATCCTCCTGTTTTCATCCTCCTGAGTACTGGTATTACAGGTGGGCCACCATGCCCAGTCTGAATCAACATCTTAGTGCACCCTAGTAGATGGGGTTGGCTTTCTTTCTTTCTTTTTTTTTCTTTTTTTTTTTTTAACATCAATCAGAAAATAGTATAGAACTTCTTTAAGATTTACAAATTTCAAGAAAAAAGGTTTTACAAATTTCAACAGGCATGGTGGCATGTACCCATAAGCCCAGGATTCAGGAGGCTGAGGCCAAGGAATGTTACAAATTCCAGTTCTTCCTGGGCTACACAGTGAGTTCAAGGTCAGCCTGAACTACATAGCTAGTCTCAAAACAGCAACAAAAACAAGCAAACAAACAGCTTCTAAAAAATCGCAAATTTCTTAAAAGTCCAACTTCTTAGCTTAATTAAAAACTTCCACACTGGGCTGGGAGTATAATGCAATGGTAGAACACTTACCTACCATGCTCATGGTCCTTAGTTCAAACCCCAAACACTGCAAGATAAAACAATAATAAATACGAAGTAAAAAGCTTCACATATATAGTAGTAATTTTCCAGCGGCCCATTTTTCACTCACACTCTTATCTGACTACTTTATACATATGTCTAGAGTTTATTTTATAAAAAGATTTAAGCTGCTTGATGAGTTATGAATTTTCTGCCTTATACTCTCCACACCTGTACATAAAGGTATCTTCTCAATTTTTCCTGTTTTTCAGAAATAAAAATTAAATTTAAAAAAATGAACTAATCTTTCAAGAACAGTACTCCAGAGATAGCTCAGCAAACTAAGTGCCTGCTTAGGCAAGCTCTGGGATTGGGGTTTGATCCCCTGTACCACTTTCTGTGCTGGCCCTGCCCCTGGGGCACACTGAGCGTGGTGGTACACGCCTGTGATTCCAGTGCTGGGGAGGCTGAAAACATGAGGGCCACTATGAATCAGAGCTGCGTAGTGAGACCCTGTACCACGTACATTAAAAAAAAAAAGAAGAAAAGTACTCCACAATTGTAAAGCCCATAATTATATTTTAGATCCTACAACAAAGGAAAATGATGGCTGTAGATAAGCTAGAGCTGTTTTCTAACTTGAAGCAAAAACCATGATAATTGTGCAAACATGTGAACTGTGGAAAGCCACCTTGCTTACCAGAAAGATGATAGATTCAGAAATCATCTTAACAGAAAATTATTTTCACAAGCTGCTCTTGATTGAAAAGTTCCTGTAAAAAAAAAAAAGAAAGAAAAAGAAAAGTTCCTGTGACAGCCAGGTATGGTGGCACAGGCCTGTCTGTGATCCCAATGCTGGGAGGCTGAGACAGGAGGCTCTTAAAATTCAATCCCATTCTGGGCAACTCAGCAATTTAATATGATTTTTATTTTTTTACATCAAAGTAGAAAAATAAAAATGGATGAGGGTATAGTTCAGTGTAAAGGGCCTGGTTTCAATTCCCAGTCCTGCAAAAAGAAAAGAAAAATGAAAAACAAAACAAAACAGCTATGGCTTAAAAATCCTGTGATGGTCCACATTTTAGTCATACATATATAACACTTTTTTGTTATTAAATTCTCCTAAAAACCCAATAAGCAGGACTCAGAATACAAATATGTAGGATTAATTTAATGTGAATCAGGGAAAAGCTTCTTGACTTGAAACTAAGGATTCATGAGTTGTGGGGAAAGGAAAGTGCAGACAGCAAAGGAGTACTGTCACCAACAGGAGCACCAAGTATGTCTGTGGAACTGAGTGGATAGGCCACCTAAGGTATTCTCAGGCTGACATGTGAGGTGACCCCAAAGCTCTAAAAAGAAGGATTTGTGTGGTGGCTGTGAATCTGGGACAGCAGAGTCCCCTATGTAACAGTGTAAGCTGGAAACAAATGGCCTGAACCTAAGGTAGTGCCCCAGTTTCTCTGACTCAGCCTAGTAGTGGAATGAAGTCCTGTGTACTCTAGAGGCTATAAGGAAGTTGCAAGGACAGCTTGAAACTCCAGAGGACTCTTTAAACTAGGATTGTGGAGACGTGACGTGCAGCAGTCATAGGCAAGTTGGTGCGAAAGCAAAGGATGGGATATTGGACAGCTGAGGAGGTAACATCCTCCAGGGCCAGTAGCCCGGGCCCCAGGGCTCTGACACTGCTCGAATCAGATCTATCCCTCTGGTTATTTATTGACTAAACTTGGCTTTTTACCACGTGCAAGTGTCAAGGTTTTAAAGAGAAAAAAATAGAAGCAACGTTATTGTTTCTTATACAACTGGATTTCTGCATTTGAAGCCATTACATAAACCTCTTTCAGAAGGCCAATGTCCCCATGCACATATACATCACTGTAGGATGTGAACAAAGCATTTTTCTTTATCAATAACATTCCCAACCCAGTTCTGTTGTTATCAAAAAGCAAGTCTGACTGAAGGAAAAATGAACAAGGAAATGGCCAATGAATGCTCACTATTGCTTTTGTTTTTATTATGATTTTCATACAGAATTCATGGGAGTTCCTTTTTTCTACCGTATTCATTGTAAATACCTTATCCTAAGTTACTGAATCTGGAATTTTATCCAAAGTAGGGAAAAAAGAATGATAAACTTAAAATCACAACCCTAGCTGGATGTGAAGATGCATACCTATAATCTTGATACTTTTGGGGAAGCTGAGGCAAGAAAATTATAGCCTGAGGAGCTTAGTGATTTAGCAAGACACTTTCATAAAATAAAACATAAGCAAAGGGCTGTAGATATAGATCAGTGTCGCTCAGTGCTGCAACATAAAATCACAACCCAGACAGCATTTTTGGCTTTGCTAACTAGTTGACGGGTGACCTTGAGCAACCTCTTAACTTCAAATCTAAATCTCTTAAATTATAAAAAAGTAACAAAATATACCACCTTGAATTATACAGAGAACTAAACCATGTACCGGAAGAGCATTGTAAGTGCTTAAAAAGCTGCACTGCATGAAGTGTTAATCTTATGGAGGAGAAGACAATGGAAAAGAAATTATGTAGGTGTGAAGGACACCTGGAGTCTAACTACAGACAGCTCAACACAAGAATATTAGGCATGCTGCTAAGAGTGGTTCAGAAGAGGAAAAAAGAAATCATTTGGGCACTAGAGGCAAACCCAAATGACCTGTCTTGATTGAACTCTGCTTTTCCATTATTCTCTTGCTCATTGATCTCTGAGATCTTAGAATTGATATAAGGTATATTGCCCTGCCCTTATAGTTCCTGAATAGACAATCATTTCCAAATGCCTTCAATGTAAGAAATTAACAATAATTAGGGAGTTATAAATAAATAGCTAGATCTTTTAATTATTAGATACTCATCTTAGTTAATCCTTACTGTGAAAGAGCTTGGCTCCTGGTGCCTGTTGCTTTGTGACATCTCTGCAAGATCAGCATATCTGTGAGAAAATCTTTGTCTGTGTTATTTGAAACCTGAGAATTAGGAAGTTGGCTTTGAATGAAGCATACATTAAAGTTAGAAATAACAACAGTCTAAGGGGTTGGCGAGATAACTCAGCTGACTAAAGCGCCTGCTTAGGCAAGTTTAGGCAAGCACAGGGACAGCAGTTTGATCCCAGTTTGATCCCTGGCATCATATGCCTTGCCAGCCCTTCCCCCAGGGCAGGCTGAGCTGTCCAGAGTCTGGGCGTAGTGGCACACACCTATAATCCCAGTGCTAGGGAGGCTGAAAGCAGGAGGATCACTACGAATTCAAGCTGTGTAGTGAGACTCTATAACAACCACATACACTAGGAAGAAAGAAAGAACACGAACAAGCAAGAAAGAAAGAAATAACAGTCTTAAACTTAGTGTAGTATTAGAAATTCTCCAGTTGTAAAATGAGATGAAAAAAGTCCATTCCTCAGAATTCTTGTGAAGTCATACTTGGCTGGATTATTTTGTTATGTAATTTGGGATCGTAACAATTATAATCCCAACTACATGTTCATGTTGCCCATGGTAATCACTAGGCTGTGCTCTTAGGAGGGTGGTAGCCTTATTATCTAAACCCCTCTAGATGTCACCCATGTACCCAGCCACTTGAGTCCTGGTGCAGCTGCACCCAACTGCCTGTGCTTCAGGAACAATCCAAGCGCACAACTCCCAGCTCCTGTTGCCACCTTAGCAGAGCATGCTAGGACCCACTGTAGCTACATGCAGCTGTTTCACAACAAGCCTTAGTCATTGCTGTGTGGCCATCCTGCTGCTGCCACGCGACTACTCCTGCTTCCCCAGTCTCATGCTTCCCTTCACCTCACCCTACCTAAGCTCCTGGCAGACTATCATTTGTAGTTACTGCCAGAAGTCTTCCTTGGAACTCTAAATTCAGCTCGCTTTCTTTCTTTCTTTCTTTCTTTCTTTCTTTCTTTCTTTCTTTCTTTCTTTCTTTCTTTCTTTGTGCTGGGTTCACACCATTTTACCTAACAATTGAAAAATTTGATTGGTTTAGGATTATTAATTTAAGGGTAGAAGCCAAGCAAGGATAAATATTTGCATGATAGCAAGGAAGCATGTTAAGTAGCAGAGAAAGAAAAATCTTGTGGAAAACTCCAGAGCCATCAAAGCAGGGCAGGATTAAGGAAGGATTATAAAAGACAGAGACCCCCTAGGTGTGGGTAGCCAAGTATGGATTCTGAAGAATGTATATATTAAAGTAGACTGTCGCAAATGTCTCATTTTGAAAAATTTCAGACCTTTAGAGAAGAATAGTGTAATAAATACTTGTATTCCTTTATATATAGTACAGAGAAGAAAGGAGGGAGGAGGGGGGAGAAGAAGATAGAGGAAGAGAGACAGAATACATTTGCATGAATATGTGTGAATATATATTTGTGTATGGATAGAAAGATAAAGCTACAGAAAAACATGCACATGTATATATTTCCAAAGTTTGAGAGTTGGGTGTTGCCATCGTGACACTTAACTGCTAATACTTCAGCATGTGTCTCTTAAGAGAAAGACCATTCTTCTATAGGACCACAATATAATTATACCATGTAGGATATAAATGAGCTATAATACAATATGTAATATCCAGCCCATGTCCAAATTTCCCCAGTGTTCCAGTAAGAGCCTTGTAATTCTCCAGCTTAAAAGAAATTAAAACACATTTTCCAGGTTCGACATAGAGGCCTTCTCTATTTTTCCTACTAAATCATAAAAAGCAGCTAGACTTCCTATTAACATTTTTATGCCTGTAAAAGAAATTTCACATGTTCCCATCCAGATAGATAGGTACTAAAATAGAAATAACCAGAGCTGGCAGAAGAAGGTCTGGGCAGTACTGCTTAAAGCAACTATTGGGAGATAAAAGCACCTATTCTGTTCCTGGGATGCTGGTCTACTCCTTTTGGCCTCTCTCAGTCTTCATATGTAGTAAGTCTCTTGTTGTGCCTGTTAGTTCTTACTATTAAATCATATGAGCCTTTTTACCAAGATGGCAAAGAAGGAAGCCCCTGCCCGCCCCCCCAAAGCTGAAGCCAAAGCAAAAGCTTTGGAGACCAAGAAGGCTGTGTTGAAAGGCATCCACAGCCACAAAAAGAAGAAGATGTGAACATCACCCACCTTCCGCCATCCCAAGACACTGCAGCTCCAGAGGCAGCCCAGATACCCTCGGCAGAGCACCCCCAGGAGACACAAACTTGACCACTATGCCATCATCAAATTCCCCTGACCATAGAGTCAGCCATGAAGAAGACTGAGGACAACAACACACCCATGTTCATTGTGGACGCCAAAGCCAATAAAGCGCCAAATCAAACAAGCTATAAAGAAGCTCTATAACATCAATGTTGCCAAGGTCAATACCCTAATCAGGCCTGATGGAGAGAAGAAGGCATATGTTCGACTGGCTACTGATTATGATGCATTGGATGCTGCCAACAAAATTGGGATCATCTAAACTGAGTCCAGCTGGCTAGTTCTAAATACATACTTTTTTCCCCATTTAAAAAAAATAAATCATGAATATCTTGCTTTCATAGTCTTTTCTTAAAAACAGATTTTAAAATTTGCAGAGAAGTTGAGACCACAGTACATTATGTATATATCTCCCTAATTCCTGCCCTTCCAGTTTCTATTACTAACACCTTACATTAGTGTAGTAATTAATACATTATTGTTAACTAATGTCTATGCTCTACAAGGTCTACAGGATCTCACTGCATGGATCAGACTCTTAGTGATTCTCCTGTTTACAGCCTCCCCAATTCTGGGATTACAGGTGCGCACCACCACACCCAGTCTCAATTGCCATCTCAGTGGAGCCAGCAAGGCAAGCCCGGGGATTGAACTCCTGGCCCCTGTGTCTGCCTAAGCAGGCCCTTTAATCTGCCGAGCTATTTTACTGGTTGCAAATTTTCTTAGTTTTTACCTAATGTCCTTTTTCTCTTCCAAGATCCTATCTACCTATGGTACCAAATTACATTTCATTGTTGTTCTCCTCAGGCTCCTTAAACTTTGATAGTTTCTCAGATTTTTCTTTTTAACATCCTTGAAGTTTTAAGCTTGTAGATCATTTGATAATTCAATTTTTATGTATTATTTGACAGAGCATTCCAGTAAATATTACTTTGAAGTATTATCTCTAGTAAGAATCAAATCCTGTTTGAGGTAGTGTGGTGGTAAGATTGATAAAATTAGCTTTGGAACTTTGAGCAGGCTTGGTTGTGTATTATATGTATATATATATATATATATATATATATATATATAGAGAGAGAGAGAGAGAGAGAGAGAGAGAGAGAGAGAGTAACATTCATCGAAGAAATGATTTTCTTTTGGTGGATTGAATCAGTGAAGTTTGAGGCAAAGTTTGAGGCAACAAGGCCTATTAAGAGGGCAGAACTGATCAGAGGGTGGTTTTCTCTCAGGAACTTTATGGTCTTCCAGATCCCATGTGGCAGCAGGGAATCTATGCTTTTTGCTTCATCTTTGGGAGAAAGATAAAGTATCTGAGGACAATGTGGCTTGAGAAATTCTATACTTATTTAGCAAACTGTTCCCTTCTACTTTGATTTTTGTTTCTTATTTTTAAAAATTTGAGTATAATTTACATATAGTAATTAATATCACTCATAAATGTTCTGCTTAGAAGTTTAAACAAAGGCATGTACCCATGTGACCAATAGGGGCCTGCCCCTTAGCTCAGTTGTTTAATTGGCTGCTTCAACAAAGGAGTTAGCCTCAGGTTGCTGTGGTTCAATCCCCACAACTCCAGCCAGCCAAACATGCCCTGAAGGCATTCTGAGCCAGCCCCCCCCCAAAAAAAATAAAATCCTTCTGCCATGTGACCAATGCCTCCAGACATAGATATGTTCTTCATGGTAGAAAGTTATTTCATGCCCTTAGATGCTTCGATTCCAAAAGAAGACAATGGCCCAATTTTTTCCCCGAGAACTTTGCCTGTAATAAAACTTCATATTAATGAATTTACACATTTAGTACTCTCTGTATCCAGTTTTCTTAGCTTAGCATAAGGTTTTTGAGATTCATTCAAAAATTTTTGCGAAAATTAAAGTTTTATTTCATTTTTACTGCTGAGCAGTGTTCTTTACTTTGTGTGTGTGTGTGTGTGTGTGTGTGTGTGTGTGTGTGTTTATGTGTGTATTTTAGAGAAGGGTCTACAGTGTGTTCAGGGTCTCACCACTAGATGGGAGTTGTAGTGATCCGCCTGTGTGCAGCTTCCCAAGAGCTGGGGTTAAAGGCATGCACCACCATGCCCAGTCTCAGTTGCTTCCACTCAGCAGGAAGGGCCGGAATCGCAGGCCTGGGGATCTAAACCCCAGCCCCTGCATCTGCTTCCAGGAGCTTTCATCCACTGAGTTATTTGGTTGGCCTTAGTGTTTTTTACTTTATATTAATAAACTACAATTTCTTATCTATTCTTATATTGATGTATTATTTTCCTGATTGGTAGTGATTAATAAGTTGTTGTGTTCTTGTATAGTTCTTCTTTAAGGACTTATTTTCTACTGTCTTGTGTATAGAATTCCTGGATCATAGGCTGAGGAGATAGCTTGGCAGTCTAAGAGCTTGCCTGACAAGTGCAAGGACCCAGGTTTGATTCCCAGTACCACATGCCTTGCCAGCCCCATGCCAAGCTGTCCACAGAAACCAGGCACAGTGCAGCATGCCTGTAATCCCAGAACTAGGTAGGCTGAGACAGGAGGATCACTACAATGAGCTGCGGAGTGAGACCCTGTACCAAATAAATAAATAAATAAATAAATAAATAAATAAATAAATACAGTTAAACAGGGCTGGCCAGATAGCTCAGCGGACTAAAGCGCCTGCTTAGGCAGAGTGCAGCAGCCAGGCTTCGATCACCCAGTGTGCCAGTGCCGGCCCTACCCCCCGGGCACGCTGAGACAGCGATTGAGACTGGGCGTGGTAGTGTGTGCCTGTAATCCCAGTCTTGGGAGGCTGAAAACAGGAGGATCACTACGAGTCCAATCTGTGTAGTTCAACCCTGTAAGACCCTGTAGACCCTGTAATAAATACAAAAAAAAAAAAAAAAAGTTAAGCCATTTTTCAGAGTGATCAGATCACTTAATTAGGTATTTCTAGCTGTGTGAAATATTACCACAAACAGCTAAAACAACACGTACTTATTGTCTCATAGTTTTTATAAGTCTGAGCATCATTTAGTAGAAACTTTGCAAGGTTAC